CACTCAGACCCCATTCGGTTTCACTCACATTTCCGCTAACCGCTGCCAATTGTAAAATTAACAGAGTATCCTCCCCCATCCCTGTTTGTTCCTTGTGCGATTTACCGTTAACAGTTCGGTTTTTCGCTTTCGTTTGGCATAACTTTTTTATTAGGTCACGCCATAGCGCCCATTGCAGTGGCAGCGACGCCAGCAGTGCTGTCATACACTCTTACTCTCATTTCCAGGCCTGCCTGCCTTCCTGCCTCCCCGCCTGCTTACTGCATACTTTTGAATAGACCGTTCACATTTATCATTTTATGGCTTTAATGCTTCACATCTTTTAATTGCATTTTTGATAAAAAAAAAAAAAAATTCAATTAAATTACTCATGTTTTTTCGGCAGCAATTTCGACTAATGGAAAATAAACTTGCGTATAATGAATTTATTAGTTTTGTGTTTTTCATCAGGAATACATTCTTAGATATGTTTTGTTTTCTAGATAAATACTTATTTAAAGCATAATCTTTTTATTGCACTTTTTGGTGTTATAATTTTGGGATGAATTGCGAGACAGAAAATGCGTTTCAAACTTTTAATACAGCTTTAATTTAGAGGTCAAATCATAATTAAAATCTTGCAAAGTTATAGAAAGTTATATAGAAAGCTTTGACCCTTCATTATTAATATTACAACAATTAAAAAATCATTAATTCAAAGTTCATAACAAGGTCTTTAAGACTGCGAACAGTAAACGAAATTGTTCTTTGGCCAAGCCAAGTAAATTAAATAAACTTTGCATCTAAATTTCGTTCATTAAAGAAAACAATATTGTTGCAAAATTTATCTTGAGCTATCCTCTTACTCATTTTAATTGCATCAATTTTTTATATCAAATTTCAGAAGGGAAAATCTTTCCCTTAACAATTTAATCAATGTTTATGAAACATGCGGCTAAAATATTTCTTTGACAGCAGTCGCCCATTTATTAACAATTCTGTAAGGGCTAAGAATTTGTGAGTTTATTAAATAAATGTCTATGGCCATATTGATGTAGACTTTAAGGACCGACAACAAAGTCGCATAATTATATTTTGAGCGCACTTCATTTGTGAGCGGCAGGACCGAAACTCATTAAAAGTGCGCCGTTCCGCGTAGACAGCGAAATAACAAAAAAATAATTTGTAATTTAGTACACTTCACTTTTCTCCATTAATACAGGAGCAGAAGCGGTGGTGCAGATAGCATCTGCGACCGGGGTGAGCTGCACCCAAAAAACCCCGACGAGATGCGATGCGACCTAACTAAACATTCAGCGATTTTAGGAGGTCAGCGAAGTGTGCGAGTGAAAAGGATGACGGGGTGGTGACTGGGCTCAAGTATCTCTGCCTGGGCAAATCAATGATGGGTGGCTTTACCACCTGCTGCCCGGTGCTTAGCCTGTGGCTAGCAGTCCTCTGTTGCTGTCACTCCTTTTGTTTATTTATCCAATCTGCTGGCTGACTGGCTGGCTGCTTGGCCACGTTAAATAAGCGCACAAGTGTCACCTAACAGATTTGATACCCCACCCAGAATGGGTGGTTAATAGGGTATCTCAAGGTATGTCACAAGCTGAAGGAAACATATCCCGCCTATTTGATCTTAGAGTCATTAAGAACTACTATTTTTAGTCGTTAGTGGAGCCAGAATTAAACAATTTATAAAAATATTCAAATACCGTTAAGCTTTTCATAAAGTTGAAAAAAGCTTGAGATACTTGTTATAATATGAGTTTATTTTTAATTTTAAACAGTTTAAGAATATTTCACTTACTCAAAACTCTTGCCCAAGATTGAAATCAACTCATTTAAAAAGGTAATCGATTGTGTTCTACAGAGTATGACCCAGTTGCTAATTTTGGAGTCTACTTGTTTTTGTTGCTGACACCGAGCCACAACAGGACTTCGAGTCTTGGCCAAGTTGCGCTGGGCTGCGCGATGTGGCAAATGAAGTTCAGAGTAACTAATGCTGTAGATTGCTGAGCCAGCCAACTACAAGCCACCAGCAGTAACAAAAAAAGAAACTACAAAGGATAGCAGCTAGTTTGCAGCAACAAGCGACAGGCAGCGAGCGCACAATGCAAATATGTACCCTTTGGAGGGGGCAAGTTGTTCTTGCTGCAGTTGCATGTGCAGCAACTAACTCTTGCATGAAGCTATTTTTCATATTTTTGCCTTTGTTGGGCCAGAGAATGAAAATGCGAGTGCGCCAAAGGAGCACCAACAAAAGTTTTTAATATAATTTGGAATTAACTAAAGTGGTGGCCGGAGATGTTAGTTGTTGAGGTCGGAATTAGTTGCCTTTATCTATATACCAAGCGCTGATACTGCTTTAAACTCTGTTGCGTATACGCAATGTATGTGGGTGTATGTGGTAAAAGTTAAAAGTTTGGCCTAAATACTGCACACATAGAGTTTGTTATATGGAATTAAAAGTGGGCACTCGTCTACATGTTGAAAAGCAGAATGAACCGAGAAAATTCCTTTGCCGCATCTCGTTATAACTAGCTTTAAATCTGAATTTCCTAAGCCATTTTGAGCTACAGCTGCTGTTGCTGCTGCTTCTGTAGTGCAAAATACTAAACAACTTCAGCTCAAGTCCAACACATCTACATCCACATAGAACAATGTATCGATAATGTTTTGCTTGCATAGATATATGTAAAACACCGTTTGCTTTTGCTGCCTCTGCCTCTGCCTCTGTCTCCGTATCCGACTCCGTCTTTGCCTGTCAGCACCGTTTTCAGAGAACAAACTTTCGACTTATCTGTTAAGCCGCATAACTTTGCATAAATATGAAGCTATTCAACAAAACTACCACAAAAAGCTTCAGCAGAAGACACCAGCACACAAAAAAAGAAGAAAAAAAAACATTGCAAAACTGCCCTTAGAGCGACGCCAACGGTTTTCATGTCAACAGCATCAGGAACAGCAACAACAACGACAGTGACAACAACAACAACATAACTATTGTCTGCTTAGTGGTATGAGTGAATCTCCGGGATCTTATTATATTTATTGTATTAAAAACAACAAGGCAAACACAAAAACTAGTCAAAGACTACGGCATCAACTTTTCCGATGACGGCACTACTTTAAGCGATTTGCATAAATTTTCCAGAAAATAAACAAAATATGTTCGAATCCAAGTCGCAAGTTCAGGATACACACAGGCTATAACTAACCCCAACCACGACTCTGCCCCCTGACCAAAGTCATTCATTTAACTGTCAATGCCGTTGTTATGCGGCGGCAAAAAATGTTAAAATTCATGGCGATCTTCTGTGGAACATTGGGAATATATGTACACGCATATGTGTGAATAAAACATGACAGAAACAAGGTTTGTTTAAGTCACAAAAGATTAAATACCCTTGTCAGAATATATTCCGGTTCTTATACTTAGTTGAACCGCACATTTCTCTGGTCTGATTTTGAAATATATTAAAGACGAATTGTTCCTAATTCTCCTCTAGATATGCAGTATAGTAGTTCACGTCGTGTAAATCGAGCGGCAAGAATACGAATCTAAAGTCCACAAGCTAAGAGGCAAGTTGGTATATGAAAAATCCTACTGATTCTGTCTTCTTTCAAAAAATATATATATTTTATAGACTCAAAGATATCATCAAATGCAAATACCCGTTGCCAGTGTATTAATATATATATAATTTAATATATGATTATTATGGCTGGCCTCCCCCGCTGGGGGTTGAAGCTCATGAATTTATGCGCCATTGTTTTTTTGCACTCGCGACAACCGCGACGACGAGTTATCGATAAATATCCAACGCAGACACAAACAATATTGTTGTTGTTGGCGTTTGATTTTTTGTTGTTATTACAGCTGCCGCGGCTGCAGCTGCTGTTTGAAAAGAAATTTTGTTTTTCCGCATGTCTCTCGCAAACACACACACACAGAACACAACACATCCACAGACATACACAGACACACTAACCAAATACTTCATTTTATCTGACAGGCATCGCGTGGCGACATCGCGAGTGGGTGGATGAGTTGAGTTCAGTTGAGTTGAGTTGAGTGGAGCTGAGTGGTTGTCACAGTACTGGGCCAGTCAATCTTTCATAGCCATTCAACGAACGCCTCCTCCTCCTCCACCGCCTCCTCTTATGTCGCTGTCCCACTCTGTCCGATCCGTCGGCCTGCGGTTGACATGAGAAAGCAAGCTGTCTGTCTGTATGTCCGTCTGTGTGTCTGCCTATCCGTCTAACGTTTAGACCGGCTCGGGTGGCTATTGGGGGTTATTGGCCGCCAAAGCGTAGCGAGACGCGTCACTTCTTCACATCACATGTCGTAGGTCAAACAAAATGTGTTTGTTGATGTTGTTGACGCTCGGTTATGGATTTATGACACTTTTGGTCATTGCGGTTGTCAGTTTTCGTTAAAAGTTCCACATTTTTTCCTTTTTTTGTTTTTGTTTTCCTTTTTTGGGCTAGTGGCTTATGGTCTGGTCAGAAATCTGAGGCAACTTTATGGCTTGGCTAATCAGACATGCTGGTCCATAGATTTTTGCTGGCTCACATGTTAAGCTTGTCAAACTCAACACGCTCTGGCCATAAAATGTGCGGGAGATGAGTACGCTTGGAGAAAACATAGAAACTGAATAGAAATCCAATTGTTGGCTGGTTACATTCTGACACATATTAATAATTTATGGTTTCGAAATCGAACTGGGACCAACAAAGATTGAATAGGTAATTTTTGTACCTAAAACAAGTTTGAGTTATTAAGTTAATAACTTAACTTCTTGATTATGCTGTATTTAGTTAATTTCAAGATAAATCGTTATCGTTACCGTTATCAGGACATGTTTACTTATCTTATTAATCTTATTAATATCGGAATACCAAGAAATACGTTCGAAATGTCACTTGCAATACAATTTGCACCTTTATTTGAGTACATATATATTTTGTCTAAGTGTAGAGTTTGGACAGGATTGATTGGGTTGTGTATTTACCTTTTGTAGTTTTGGCGCTTGCTCGCTGAACTGCAAATAGAGACAAGGAAAAATTACGTTATTAATAGTCAGAACGTGACACTTACGCACTCACACACACTACTAATAGTAACACACATATGGCGCCATCATTTATCAAAGTAAAAATTGTCAACAGAACTTTACGCGTATTTCCGTTTGAATTGTTGGCTATTAATTTACTGGCCATAACCGGATACGCCGCATTTTCTGGCCATTAATAATGCAACAGCCTGGCCTACACAGTACAGAGGCTGCCTGTCAATATTAACTAAAACCAATTATGCAGCAATTGAAAAGTTATTACATTGCGTATACGACGCGTGGGGTAAAAATGGGCAAAGCTGTCAGTTGACTGCTAAAAATCCAATTAAATCTATTTTAAATTCATACATTTATGCGCATTCTACTCACACTAATGTAATTGTGACTTTGGGCAAGTAGCATAAATTGTTTGCCACCAGTTTTGTTGCAATTCAATTTTCATACGTATGAAAAGCAACCAAAAAGAGGAGAAATCAGCGCAAATTCAATGAACTCGAAATGGAATCAGAAACTCGCCAAAAGAACCGAATGACTGACTGAGTGACTGAATGACTGACTGCAGTATACAGTGAATGCGCAATGGCTGCGGCAACAGCGCACAGTCCTGCTCCCAATGTCCTTGCGCCCTTGTTATGAAAGCTTTAGCTCCTGCTGCTGCTGTTTCTTGTTGGCCGGCGTCAACGGACATGTGTCCCGCCACGCTCCCCAACCCTGTTCCGGGGTAGCGTGTGTGTACAACCAAAATATTTACACACTGCAGGCATAAAAACTGCATAAATGTGATTATATTTTCATTGGCTTTTACACGGACAGAACGGAGACGGAAAACGCCCAGCCAGTCATGTAATTCGATTGCGATTTCAATTAGCGTAAAATGCACAGAAAATTTAAACGGGAACGACAAAAGTGGGACATGAATACATTGACTAATTTGTGTGGACTTAATGGATATTGGAAGGAATTACCTGTAATGAAGACCGTTGAATGAGATTGCTTTGATACCGGAAATGGATAAAAATCCGTATCCCTTTCTATTGAAAAGAGCTGGCAACTTAATTAAGACTTTGTTGAAAATACGACAACAATTTGCTTTTAACTTAAAGCATTTAAAATAACACAGAATTAATGCAATAAAATTAGTTATTTATTTAGTGTGGACTAAATTGAATAGTAAAATTAAAATTTAAAATTAAAAAATATATATTTTGCACAATATAAATCTGCGGGTATTAAAATGTAAAATGGACCCGCATTTTTTGCTGTGATTTTGGGAAACCCAAAAAAAAAACCTAATCAGATTAAATATTATTAAACGTTAGTAGCTTAATGTAAGAGAGAGAGAGAGAGAGAGAGAGAGAGAGAGATAGAGAGAGAAAGAGAAAGATAGAGATAAAGAAGAGACAGCCACATCTCCTCCCACTTCAAGCATTTCATAATTTATGTGTGCCGTGCTAATTACTTGCTTCTCGTTTAATGTTAATTGTTATAAGCCCAAAAGTAAACAGCAATAAGCTAGCTAATTGCCATTTCATTGACTACTCGAAACAATTAAAAAAACATTTGCCCATAAGCCGCACAGGAGACGGAATTCACAAGGACAATACGAGCGCCAAGCACTTCTAGGATCATTGCAAATTGATGCTTCCTGCCGAGCAGCTCGACGCCTGAAGACGACAGTTGTGATGGCAATTGTGTTGCATCCAAAGACACAGTCTTGCAGCTAAGGGGCGTGAGAACGGAAGTGGGCGGCGTGGCTGAGCAGCGCTTACGGCACTTGCAACGCCGTCGTCACCATCGTCAAAATGCCATTTCTGTCGTTCGCCTCAGTGCAAATCCACTATAGTAAATGTTATCTTTGCAAACATTTGACAATCAGAAATGCTCAAGCCATTGTTTAAAGTAAAAATCAAGCAGAAGCAGCAGCAGCTGAAGTAGCAGCAGCAACCAAACGGACGAACTTATGCACAAACAATGCCCGCAGCACAGTGGCAGAAAACTTGAGATTAATATCGAGTTCAATATGATTTATCCAGCTTATTCGTTAACTGTTCCCACACAAAAGTTTAGTCGACAGTTAAATTGAGATTCAGCTGTAATATATTTTATGTTTTGTCTGGCTTACATATATGCACATCACATTGTAGATTAAAATAACCAGAAATCAAGCAAAATAAATGACGTGTGCTTATCGAACAATCAATTTCTGCCCACTGTGCAGACTCGACGCCAAATGGCTGCTGCTGCCTCCGATGCTTTGATGACAATGCTTGCTGCAAACAGCTAGCTGGCAACTCTATGGTAAAGAATCAGCTCACAAATGCACAAATACACAAATACAGACAACAATTGGCGCAACGTTGCGTCTTTGACGTCTCAGCCGGGGTTAAGTTGACAAGAGAATGAGATTGGATTCTGGCGGCGCTGCCTGAGTTCAATTCATTTCCACTTGAGCAAGTGCACGTCTTAAGGACAAGCAACATACCACTCCACCACCCACCACGGCACAACCACTCACACAGTCACATAAAAGTAGCTGCAAAATGTTGTCCCAGTGGGCGGCGAACGGTTGCTGAGTTGTCGCCTTGAAAATGCTCGCTGCAGTTTTGTTTGTTTCTCAAATTTTAAGGGGGGGTGGCGCGTTGCAGCAGCATCATCAAATTGAAACTACACATCCTGCAGCGTCGTCACACTGACAGGACGAACAGGGCCTTGTGTCGCTGTTTGCAGCTGGCTGACACTGTTGACAGTGCGAAGTAATGAAAATGATTATTGTCAAGGGTCGCCAACAGGCAAACAAACAAGCAACACATTCTGGGCAAAGGCCAAATGTGCAGCTGGCCACCGATAAACGTTTTCGGTAAGTGTAAAACCAAGATTCCGATATTCGTTAGGAACACGAATTAAAAATTTGGAGTCCTTTCACACTAATGACGCACATTGTCGTTGCCAGATGGAATTTTCTAACCGGAGCGGCAGTCACACTCAGAAAAAGAAGTGGCCCAAAACGTAAAAGCCTTTTTTCTTCAGAAAGTGAATACTTGATCTTTTTTTATGAGGTAAGATTTTCTCAAAACTTTAGAATGACAATTTGTGTTTTATTTTAAATGTGAAGGGTATTTTTCGGCAAAGTCCTTTTTCCAAATTTATTTTTATAAGTGCAGAGCCTGTCGGCTCTCATTTGAACGATACTTTGTCTTCTTCCGACATTTCTGCTTCAACTGGCACACGGCGCTGTCGCTGCTTCTGCTGATGCAGTTGCCACTGCAACTGCCTCCACCGCTACAGCTGTCGTAGTCGCTGCTGTCGGTGCCAAAAACGTAGATGCTAAAATTTAGGTTAATTGATAATTGATAAAAGCGTTGCAAGTGACTTTTCTCTCGCTCTCGCTGCTGCTCAGGCTTTAGCTATTGCTGTGCTTATGCCTACTGTAAATGTGTGGCTCACTTTAACTTTTGCCCTATACATATTTAAGCCCACCACACCACAGTTTTGCGGGAGTGGCAGTCACACGTCAAATGCAATGAAATCCAACCACTGCAAATACAAGTACATAGTCTGAAGTGTGCGCCCATCCCAACCACCACTACAATCCTGTACACTCAATCAAAATGCATTAGATGAGCAGGAAGGGGAATTCCACCGCAAATGAGGTCGCACAAATTTGACCCATAAGGCCATACCACAGAGACGCCTCCAGGGTCTGTGACAGCTCTAATAGAGACCCACTCACTTGCTCACGCACACAAATCATTTGTAATGCACACGACAACTGGCAACCGGCAACTGGCAACTGACAATGGCTGCTGTATATTAATTGATGTAACAATTTTGAGACACATCTCACGAACCCACAGACGTGTGTCTTACAATGCGGCGTATATTGGGAATTCAATTCCAAATTCTGCTTTGACTTACATTAAATGCCATTATCCATCATTTTATAGAAGCCCCCAAGTCAAAATACATTGCGGAAATGTCTGTGGCACACACACACACACATACATATAAACTCAAACAAAAAGACACACACACTCAAAGCACACACACACTGATAAGCAAATGCTTACACACGCAGATACGCACACAACAGCAATTTGCAATTGTGTTAGTTCACAGAGTAAATGCTCACAAAGGTTTTTTTTTTATTATTTTATGATTTAATCAACAATACAAAATAATCGTTATAAATATCATGTTCAATTTAATATGCTTATGCGTACATTACATTTTTGCTTACACAATCAGTTTATGTGTACAGATTTATGCTTTATTTTTGTCTTTTTCTTTTTTATTGATTATTTTCTTTGCAAAGGATACAAGTTAAAGCCAATTATTTAAGACGCCAGGATTAGCACAAGTCAATTGTCTTTTAAGCAGCTATAATCAAAAACGATTCAAGCAAATAATATCCAAGGGAAAGAACAGACATAGAATACTCAGGGGTCTCTTATTAGGACACTTTATATTAAGAGCTCATCTAGTTAGGTAAAGTCAGAAACGGATTCTGCCAATTTTGTGACAACGAGAACGAATCCTTAAAGCACATCATAGCAGATTTTGTTGCCTTAGCCAGTAAACTACGCAATATCCTGGGGAATCGTGTCTTAACACTGGCAGAGATAGAATACCTTAATCCGATAAAATATGCAAGAAACAGGGTTCATACAAGAGCAATACCCTTAGAATGAGAGACAATAAATCAATAAGTCGCAGTGAATGAAGCTCACAATAATAATAAATAGATATAATAGCAAGCCAATTATATATTTATCTGAATCATATATCCTTCTTACTGAATGTTCAAGTTCTAGTTTAAAAAAGAGCCTGCGCTTATCCACAGTGCAAAGGGGATCTACAAATGGCAATAGCAAATTTGTTTACAAGCAAAGAGAATAGGGGTTAGGTCAATAGTAGTAGTCTTTAGACTTAACATAAGAACTGCATTAAATGGCAACAATGGAGTGGAA